TTTGGAAGTTGTGGCAATTTTAAACAGCACCTAATTGCGTGCCGAAACCGTGCTCAAACTTATCCACAAAAACTGCCTAACGTCCCTTCTGAATTCCTAGAAAAAATGTCTGTCTTTTTCTGTCTCCCGCAGCTCTTGTTTGGTGGCTGCAAGTTGCAAGCATCAGCCCTCCAGAACGGACCCTTCGCCACAGCAAAACAGCACCTAATTGCGTGCCGAAACCGTGCTCAAACTTATCCCCACAAACTGCCTAACGCCCCTTCTGAATTCCTAGAAAAAAATATTTTTCTGTCTCCTGCAGCTGCTGTTTGGTGGCTCCAAGCTGCAAGCATCAGCCCTCCAGAACGGACCCTTCGCCACAGCAAAACAGCACCTAATTGCGTGCCGAAACCGTGCTCAAACTTACCCACAAAAACTGCCTAACGCCCCTTCTGAATTCCTAGAAAAAATATCTTTTTCTGTCTCCTGCAGCTGTTGTGTGGTGGCTCCAAGCTGCAAGCATCAGGCTTCCAGAAGGAACCCTTCGCCACAGCAAAACAGCACCTAATTGCGTGCCGAAACCGTGCTCAAACTTACCCACAAAAACCGCCTAACGCCCCTTCTGAATTCCTTGAACAAATATCTCTTTTTTATTTCATTTGTTTCCTGCAGCTGTTGTCTGGTGGCTCCAAACTGCAAGCATCAGGCTTCCAGAATGGACCCTTCGCCACAGCAAAACAGCACCTAATTTCGTGCCGAAACCGTGCTCAAACTTATCCACAAAAACTGCCTAACGTCCCTTCTGAATTCCTAGAAAAAATGTCTGTCTTTTTCTGTCTCCTGCAGCTCTTGTTTGGTGGCTGCAAGTTGCAAGCATCAGCCCTCCAGAACGGACCCTTCGCCACAGCAAAACAGCACCTAATTGCGTGCCGAAACCGTGCTCAAACTTATCCACAAAAACTGCCTAACGTCCCTTCTGAATTCCTAGAAAAAATGTCGACTTTTTCTGTCTCCTGCAGCTCTTGTTTGGTGGCTGCAAGTTGCATGCAAGCATCAGCCCTCCAGAACGAACCCTTCGCCACAGCAAAACAGCACCTAATTGCGTGCCGAAACCGTGCTCAAACTTATCCACAAAAACTGCCTAACGCCCCTTCTCAAACGCCCCTTCTCAATTCCTGGAAAAAATCTATCTTTTTTTGTTTTTTTGTTTCCTGCAGCTGTTGTCTGGTAGCTCCAAGCTGCAATCATCAGCCCTCCAGAACGAACCCTTTGCCACAGCAAAACAGCACCTAATTGCGTGCCGAAACCGTGCTCAAACTTATCCACAAAAACTGCCTAACGCCCCTTCTGAATTCCTAGAAAAAATTTCTTTTTCTGTCTCCTGCAGTTGTTGTTTGGTGGCTTCAGGCTGCAAGCAGCAGGCCTCCAGAACGGACCCTTCGCCACACCAAAACAGCATCTAATTGCGTGCCGAAACCGTGCTCAAACTGACCCACAAAAATGACCCTTCGCCACAGCAAAACAGCACCTAATTGCGTGCCGAAACCGTGCTCAAACTTACCCACAAAAACTGCCTAACGCCCCTTCTGAATTCCTAGAAAAATTTTCTCTTTTTTATTTTATTTGTTTCCTGCTGCTGTTGTTTGGTGGCTCCAAGCTGCAAGCATCAAGCTTCCAGAAGGAACCCTTCGCCAGAGCAAAACAGCACCTAATTGCGTGCCGAAACCGTGCTCAAACTTATCCACAAAAACTGCCTAACGTCCCTTCTGAATTCCTAGAAAAAATGTCGGTCTTTTTCTGTCTCCTGCAGCTTTTGTTTGGCGGCGCCAAGCTGCAAGCATTAGTCCTCCAGAACGGACCCTTCGCCACAGCAAAACAGCACCTAATTGCGTGCCGAAACCGTGCTCAAACTTATCCACAAAAACTGCCTAACGTCCCTTCTGAATTCCTAGAAAAAATCTCTTTTTCTGTCTCCTGCAGCTGTTGTGTGGTGGCTCCAAGCTGCAAGCATCAGGCTTCCAGAAGGAACCCTTCGCCACAGCAAAACAGCACCTAATTGCGTGCCGAAACCGTGCTTAAACTTACCCACAAAAACTGCCTAACGTCCCTTCTGAATTCCTAGAAGAAATTCTCTTTTCTGTCTCCTGCAGCTGTTGTTTGGTGGGTCCAAGCTGCAAGCATCAGGCTTCCAGAACGGACCCTTCGCCACAGCAAAACAGCACCTAATTGTGTGCCGAAACCGTGCTCAAACTTACCCACAAAAACTGCCTAACGCCCCTTCTGAATTCCTAGAAAAAAATCTTTTTCTGTCTCCTGCAGCTGTTGTTTGGTGGCTCCAAGCTGCAAGCATCAGGCTTCCAGATTTCGCCACAGCAAAACAGCACCTAATTGCGTGCCGAAACCGTGCTCAAACTTACCCACAAAAACTGCCTAACGCCCCTTGTGAATTCCTAGAAAAAATCTATCTTTTTTTGTTTTTTAGTTTCCTGCAGCTGTTGTCTGGTAGCTCCAAACTGCAAGCATCAGGCTTCCAGAAGGGGCCCTTCGCCACAGCAAAACAGCATCTAATTGCGTGCCGAAACCGTGCTCAAACTTCCCCACAAAAATGACTCTTCGCCACAGCAAAACAGCACCTAATTGCGTGCCGAAACCGTGCTCAAACTTACCCACAAAAACTGCCTAACGCCCCTTCTGAATTCCTAGAAAAAATTTCTTTTTCTGTCTCCTGCAGCTGTTGTTTGGTGGCTCCAAGCTGCAAGCATCAGGCTTCCAGAAGGAACCCTTCGCCACAGCAAAACAGCACCTAATTGCGTGCCGAAACCGTGCTCAAACTTACCCACAAAAACTGCCTAACGCCCCTTCTGAATTCCTAGAAAAAATTTCTCTTTTTTTGTCTCCTGCAGCTGTTGTTTGGTGGCTCCAAGCTGCAAGCATCAGGCTTCCAGAAGGAACCCTTCGCCACAGCAAAACAGAACCTAATTGTGTGCTGATACCGTGCTCAAACTTACCCACAAAAACTGCCTAACGTCCCTTCTGAATGCCTAGAAAAAATCTATCTTTATTTGTCTCCTGCAGCTCTTGTTTGGTAGCTCCAAGCTGCAAGCATCAGGCTTCCAGAAGGGACCCTTCGCCACAGCAAAACAGCACCTAATTGCGTGCCGAAACCGTGCTCAAACTTACCCACAAAAACTGCCTAACGCCCCTTCTGAATTCCTAGAAAAATATCTCTTTTTTTGTGCATCAGGCTTCGACTGGCTGCCTGCTACCTGCTTCTTGACTGCTGGCCCTGCTGGCTACTCGCTGCTGCTGGCTGCTACCTAGAGAATCCTAAATCCTAGAGAATCTCTTCGGGAATCCTAGACTACAAAAACGCGGGCCCCGGACTGCGAAACATCATATTGCTGCTGCTGCCTGCCTGCTGCTTACCCTTATAAGTACAAGCTGCATGGCTTTGTGACTGCCTGCTGCTGCCTACTGCTGCCTGCTGCTGCCTGCTGCTGCTGCTGCTGCTGCTGCTGCTGTTGCAAGCTTCCAAATGGTCGGCGGAAAATGTCTTATTCCCTGGCGCGCTCCCCCTTGCGTCGGCCGGGGTCAACATGGCACACGGGTCTGCAACGCATGTCATGTGGCCACAGTCCAAGCTGCCATCCGCAAGCGTGCCGCAGCGTTGAATACAGAACCCCAAAAAGGGCCTAACGTCACTTCTGAAACCCTACTATAAAATTGAAACTTTGCCGCTGCCTGCCGCTGCCTGCCGCTGCCTGCTGCTGCCTGCTGCCTGCTGCTGCCTGCTGCTGCCTGCTGCTGCCTGCTCCTGCCTGCTGCTGGCTGCTGCTGGCTGCTGCCTGCTGCTGCCTGCTGCTGCCTGCTGCTGCCTGCTGCTGCATGCTGCTGGCAGAAGCTGCTTGCTGCCTGTTGCTGCCTGCTGCTGGTGCTGCTACTGGTGGCTGCTCCTGCTGCTGCTGTGGTGCTGCTGTGGTGCTGCTGCAATCAAACAGCCTCCAAAGCAAGAAACAAACAGCCAGACACCCTTTCGAAACACATCCGAAAGAGCAAAAACGTAGCAATGGAACCCCAAAAAAGGGCCTAACGTCACTTCTGAAACCCTACTATAAAATTGAAACTTTGCCGCTCCTGCTGCTGCCTGCTGCTGCCTGCTGCTGCCTGCTCCTGCCTGCTGCTGCCTGCTGCTGGATGGGAAAACACCATGGCAGTGAAGGACGGAGAAACCCCAAAATTGCACCCCATAAATGCCTAACGAAAACGCATAGAAAATGATGATTTTGGTTGCTTTTTCCTCTTGCTGCTGCTATGAATTTTGGCTACCTTTTCCTGCTGCTGCAGAGGCTTTTGCTGCTGCTGCTGGTCCCCGACCCGTTGTTGTATTTCTTGTTGTCCACAACCTCTCTTCCCTGACGCGCTCCCCCTTGCGGTCGGCCGGGGTCGGCGGATTTTCCCATTTTCGTTGGGATGATGATCCAATCTGACGAACTCCATCATTTTTCAGGGGGGTGGCTTTGAAACCACCAATTGTTGTGAATGTTGACATAGATGTCCCACATTCCCAGTTGGTTGATTCATGGGGTTTGAAGGTTTACCCCTTTAACAACAGGTAACAACAGGTTTGTTTGATGATAGATGGTATACCAGCTCCCGGTCCCTCTATTCTATTTTTACCAAAAGGACAGATAGATCCTTATTGGTTGACTATTGTTGTTTGGGTATTTTTTGGGGTGGTTAATGGTTTGACAGAGAAATAACATATCCTGCGAAATAAGCGCAGGGCACCCAACATTAGCCATGGCAAAGTCATAGGTGGATAGTTCAAGTGTTTGTATGATTGACTTTTGTTTTGTGACTTCAGACTTAAGTGAACTATTCTGAAGCGAAGTATTTTTCAACTGACATGAATTTTCAACACATCATCGGATGTGTCGACTGGGATGTTTTAGTGACGACTTGCAGTCATCGGATCATCACTGGCCCGGTCGCCGCCCATCCCAAGCGGCTCTGGCGGCAACCCGGCTGTGGGGTTTGAGGGTTGCGGCGCTGGTGCCGATGAAGCGGCCACCATGGGATTCCAGCGCGCCTTGGACCTGTGGGTTTGGGGCTTTCTGGGGTTTCGGCTGAAGCCAGAATCTGCGTTGAATGGATTTGTTGAATAAAATTACTATAATGCGGTTAAAACAATGTTAAACAAATTGGGACTTGACCATAGGAAAATCAGAGTAAAATCATGGGAAAATACACTATTTACATGGAGGAGTTATCCCATTATTTAGTCACTCATGTGGTTAAAACACTGTCATTTTTACCACCCAAAAATGGGAATGGTAAGTTTATACATGTTTATACCACCAAACAAAAAATGGTGATTTTCCTGGGGGATGGTTTCTGACATTGTTTTAGCCACAAACAACGAACAGTTCGATCCACTAAGCCCGCCATCGAAGTTCTGAACATGTCAACATCGATGGCTCACACCGTGGGCATATCCTTGGCTCACAGAATCTCATAGACTTACCCTCTGGTAATTTAACATAGCTATGGAGAATCCATTATAAATGGAGGTTTTATTGGGAAAATCATCTGTAAATGGTCCATTTTCCATAGCTATGTAAAATTACCAGAGGGTAGACTGTTTCATACCGACTAGACTATGAAGCGTAGCTATAAATATTTATACAATTCCTATGAATTAGGAAACAGTTTCATACCTATGGAAATTCATAGTCTTGCACACCTTGGTTTGCGAGTTTGCGTGCCCTTAAACTTAATGAATTTCCTTGTAGACTGCTGGAAGGCCCTAAAAAATATATAGCCCATGGGTTGAATACCAGAATAGCCTCGATGGTTTCGAACTTCAATTGACCAATTTAGAGTCTGGGAGTCATCGAGGGTCCTAATTTGGTGATATGGTCCTTGAAGTTTGTTTACATTAGTGTAACTGAGTCATGGCATCCGACCAATGATCAGCGGTCAAGAAAAAAAACATCCCCACGACAATTAGGTATAATTTTAAGATACTGTATTGTGTATAACCCAGATAGGGATGTTTTAAGTTAATTATGTTTAATACTGGGAATTGGCCAAGAAACATTGTGGTTAGTGGACTGATCTAAGGGAACATGTGACACGAGAATTCATGAATATTGCCGCCGAATCTCGGGGGGTTCAGGTAGATTTTGGGCTGTATAACCCAAATCCATGTGAATGGGATGCTTGATTGAATAACGAACAAGATGTCGGATCATCCATGTCTGCTATATTCAACTAAAGTCCTTTCCCCAAGAATCAGTTTCCAAGTAAGCCATACATAGATGATGTGAGCAACTTATCTATGTCTTCCAGCTTTGACGGGAATCCATGAATAATTAATCAATAATGATAAGATACTATACCATATTACTATCCCATCATGTTCCCGTTAATATCCAATGATTAAGGAATTGTTCCAATCAAATTTACTGGAGTTACAAAGCAACGTAGCTAACTGACTATGGGGCACCACCCAATCCACATGTAATATCCAATGAATAACCCATTCATATTCCATTAATTATGTATTAACATATTATGTAATATACATTATACATAATAGTTATTTAATTATATGGGCCATAACCCATAGGATCCATGGTGCTGGTATATATGCTAACATAAAGGGGGTATATTGATGGGATCCATGTTACCATATATAGCAGCACCATGGATCCTATGGGTAATGAAGCATGGTTAACCATACTTAACTTTTCTTGTAACGAATCAACGATGTTACTTCCACGATTCGCCGCTGAGATCTTCGATGCGTCGTTGCTCAACGCTGGACGTGCGTCGTATACAAAGACCTACTTCAGCATCCCTGAGAAGCTGAATCTGAAGGAAGTGTGGGGCGTTCATGGCTGCATTTCATTCAATGGATTGGTTTAAGGGAAAATTCACAGGAAACCATAGATTTTCCCATTAAGTATGGGGCTTTCCTGTAAATTTTCCCTTAATCCAATCCATTGATTCGTGGGACATGGGATTTACATGGATTTACGGTAAATCTGGAATTCATAAATATAAATGATATTGGATCTAATGGGATTGGGACATACTGGGATCTAGAATGGAAAATAGGTGCAATTCAATATCATTTGGGTGTGTTTTGAACAAGGGATTTCCTGCCCTTTGTGGCAAGTTTGATAGGGAAGATGATGATAAATTAATAAATCATGAAATTTGATGGTAATCTCCATTCTTGGGACTGAGCCATATGGATCCATATGGTATGATGTGGGATCCATCATGAATGTCCCCAATCATCAACCATTTGGGGTCCCCTTTTTTTCGGGCCTTCATTCCGAAAGTCAAGTCCTTCCGATACCAGTCATTTGTTGGCAAAATGTGTGGGATCAACATTTTAAAAATTGAGGGCCCAACTGTTGTCATCGTTGAGTACAAACTATCAGATCAAGCCACCCCAGTTACACAAAAAGTGCCAATTTTGAATTCCTGCTGTGTAATACTGCCCGATTCCCTCCAAGTCCACCTGTGTAGTTTCATTTTCTGCAATATGGAGGTTTCCGAAAATGGGGGTACCCCTGTTATTATCCATTTATAGATTAGATTTTCCATCATAAACCATCCAGCTATTGGGTTCTTAAATTAGACTACAGCTATCATTCTACCAAACTCAGGAAAGGCTCCTTTCATAGACTTCTGAGAGATGAGTAACTTGAAACGCCAAAAATTCTAACACTTTCTTACAAAAAGATGTGGTTTTCTCCATAAAAAGATATACATAGCCTACTTTTGGAAGGCTATCATCTGTCTAGTAACTGGCTTACAACCGACTCAATCATTGAGTATAACCATGTATAACCCAGTTACAAAGAAAAACATCCAGTTACGCAACCACTGAACTAATCCCAGGGCCCATTTAAAGCATGCCTCTCAACGTCCAGGAGCCCTGCCGTTCCCGTGGCAGCAGCGCCGGCAGCAGCGCCGCCATGCGCCGCGGCACAGTGCGCCGCCGGTCTTCCGGGTGCTGCCCTTGCTGCGGCCGGCGGGACGAAGGGCGCTCCACGGGGTCGACGGCGGCGACACGGGAGCTGTTTGGGCATGTGATGGGAAAATCATGGCAAAATCCAGGGGAAAAATCCAGGAACATCCGATATATCAATGGAGGTTTGCGAAATCACCGAAGTAAATGATGGGATTTTTATGGATTTGTCATTGCTATGGCTTTGTTGAAGGTGATTTTTGAAGTTGTCCCAATGGGACATAGAGATTCCACTTGGGGAATCCACAGGGGGGGTGAACTTTTGTGACCAACAACCGTGTTGATATTTTGATGTTGATGCGTATATTCCATTGTGACCATGATAGTGTTGATGAAAATGTTGGTTATGTATAAATACGTATATTATATATACGGTAACGACATTTAAATATGTGGAGGGCGGGCCAGACAGCGAGGCCCCGGAGGTAGTATGAAATACCAGTTCGTATATTTAAATGTAGTTGCAGTATGTTTAAATGAATTGGATTCCGTATGTTTAAATGGCTGGGCGGGCCAAGGAAAACCTTCCCGGAGGTAGTCTAAAATACCTGTTCGTATATTTAAAAATCCATATATATATATTTAAATGTAGTTACCGTATATATATATATACAATTAATTACTCTAATCATGTTCGATTCATTCCCATGCTTATCCCAATTCTTAATGGATTGTTGGTTAAAAATCTTATATTATATACTCCCAATGAGTGTCAAACAATTATCCCCTTCGTATCTCCAATGAATTCCCAATTCTTATTCCAGACCTATGAATTCGTTGATAGTTATCCTCTGATTATTTAACATAGCCATGGAAAATAGATGGTTTACCTATTAAAAATGGTAATTTTCTTGGATTCCAAATCTCAGTCTATCCGTCTATCCAGTGGATTCTAAGCTTTTGTCCCAATTATTTCTTGTTGAGGGGGGCAATGTATTCCAATCAAGACATCCTAAGAATTACCTCCCATGTATTACTCTACGTAAGAGATATCCTAATTATCTTCAATTAACATCGATGTCCCATTAAGTAGAATAATGCCAATAAAAAATCTCCAAATATGGTGTTTCTTTTTTTTTTCCACTATCCAAATTTCACTTGTTCAGTATTTCCCTCAAATATATTATTCCAATTACCCTCTGGTAAACTAACATAGCGATTGAAAATGGCTGTAGAAGTAGTTACTATTTTTTAGCCATCAAAAATTGTGATTTTCGATAGTTACTTGGTGGCTCATCCCACTTAGTAAGTGGGTTATAACCCCAGTTATAAGTGGATTAACCCTACTTATCCCATTTATAACTCCGGTTATAACCCACTTACTAAGTGGGATGAGCCACCAAGTATGTTAGTTTACCAAAGTGTATCCCATCTCTTCTTGGTGTCACTGTGGTTGCAGGACGAGCTCACCAGTTCCCTGCTCCGCGACTGGACGCAGCCGCAGGACGTGCGCACGGCGCGGCAGCGCTTGGCTGAAGCGTCGACATCGGGTGGCTGGGTTGAGTTCGTCCAAAGATAGGTTATACCATAATAAATCTGGGTAAATTATAACCACCTCACTGCGACCTCACTGGAATCATGGTTAATAAGGGAAATCATCCCCAAATGGCCTTAATTCAGGTTAGTGAAATATTATAATTTACCCATAGTAAATGATATTGGGGAATTATGATTATGAATGGTTCTTATTACAATATGTTACAATTATTTATAATTCATGATTATGAATGATTAAAGATTATTATGTGTTTGAATAATTATGATTATGAATGCTTAGTGGAAATCATCAGGTTGTTGTGTTAAAATGTAGTATATGATATGTGTACACAAGCCTATATAATCATATATATATATATGTATAGATGTGTGTGTATGTGTATATGTATAGTATTATACTCTAGGTATTTAGATATAAAGGTACACATATGTACATATATATATATACATGTAGATAAGATATCTCTATATATAAAATACACAGATATTATAAATATAAAATACACAGATATTTTAAATATAATATATATATATATAATACATATATATAATACATATATATATAATACATATATATATATATATAATACATATATATAATACATATATATATAATACATATATATATATAATACATATATATATAATACATATATATATATAATACATATATATATAATACATATATATAATACATATATATATATAATACATATATATAATACATATATATTTATAATACATATATATATATAATACATATATATATATATAATACATATATATATATAATACATATATATATATATTACATATATAATACATATATATTTATAATACATATATATATAATACATATATATATATATAATACATATATATAATACATATATATATATATATATTACATATATATAATACATATACATATATAATACATATATATAATACATATATATATAATACATATATATATAATACATATATATATATAATACATATATATAATACATATATATATAATACATATATATAATACATATATATATAATACATATATATAATACATATATATAATACATATATATATATAATACATATATATAATACATATATATATAATACATATATATAATACATATATATATAATACATATATATATATATATAATACATATATATAATACATATATATAATACATATATATATAATACATATATATATATAATACATATATATATAATACACATATGTATAATACATATATACATATATATATATAATACATATATATATATATATAATACATATATATATAATACATATATATATAATACATATATATATATATCATATACCAATTAATATACAGAATTGATCATAGCATCGGATCTGCACAGGTCCAGAGCTTTCGCCGCCGCCCAAATCGCTGGCCGTCGCGTTGGACGCCGTGGCGACGCCGGAGACGCCGGCGACGCCGGCGCCGAAGGTTTCGAAGGGTGACCTGGGCACAACGAGATGACATGGTGGGGTGAGTGGTTGTTGAAGTATGTTCCATTACCTGGGAAAAATCCATGAAAATCCTATATCAATGGAGGTTTATAGCTGGGACCATCAGCTATAATGTCAACGTAGGATTAATCAACCGCCCCCCCCCCCACAAGGTAGGTATATACCTTGTAAGGTCTTTCTTGTATCCTCCCTAAATAAACGGCCCCTGAACCATAAAATTTTGGATATGGCTTGAAAACTATTGGCTGAAAGCTATGGGGGACATTGGGAATGAATAGGCAGATCCAAAGAAAAAACATTAGGAACATGGTGGTTGATTAATCAGGGGCAAACCCTGATTATTATCAATGGGGGACATGGGCTCATGGGGGGTACCCTTTGGGAGCTATCCAAACTGATGATTTTTATAAAGAATTTAATTAGAAATCGATCATATGGGGAATAGTTGTTTTTTCAAATTTTCAATGATCAGCAGTGATGGGTTCTGGTGTTCACGCGGTTTCAACTTAAATATAGCAAAAGGAAACCAAAAGGAAACCAATTGAAACTTTTGGATAAAAAAAATGGATTTCAGCACTGGTGGTTGATTAATCATCGCAGGCCAAACGGTTTATTAATCCAGGGGGACCACCTGTTTCTAAATTACATTTTTTTTTTTAAGGGGCAGTGGTGGTTGATTGATCGGGAGGGATTAATTAGTCCTACCTTGACATTAAATATGACCTGTTGAAGTATGTTAGATGTGGAAAACCATAGACATGGTGTGTACTAGAGAATCGGTACCCTAGGGCAAACTAAGACAGATGTGGAAAAAATCCACTGTTTGTAGATGATGTTCATAGGGAAACCAGTTTTCCAGACCTATGGTGGCTTACCCTCGGGCCCTAGGGTATGAAATAGGAATTTGATGGAATTTGTATGTTTTATTACTTAAGATAGTACAATGTGTGGTTCTCCCATCCCCCCAATCCTAAATCATTTCCGTAACTGAAAAAAAACACCCAAAAAACGGGAAGCCAATTCATGACCCAGGGCCACATTGGAAGACGCAGAATTTTGGCTGGATCTCCATGGATTTCCATCAAAAAAGGCCCTGAGTTTTTGGGGTTTGTCACCGTCGCCCGCGGTCATAGATATGTGCATATCATATGTGTCATGTATATCATATGTGTCATTATTATATAATATTATTGTATATATATATATATTGCAGTAGACATGTGTTATGTGAGTATATGTACATACATAGCTTACAATTATAAGCATGAACAAGTTACAAAATGGCATGTATACCCCTTTGCTGCAACATCTCGATACCTGGCCATGGAACATTTGCCTTTCTTATGGCCGATTTACCATGTAGCAGGCCCAACGTTGGAAACCTGAAAAGTATGGGGAAAACATGAGAAACCATCAATTGTACCATCCTGGAAATGCGTTGTTCCTTTTTTTTCTGTTTTCTTGGGGGTTGATGTTTGTTTGTTTTTCCATTGCATGGTGTCCCCTTTTGGTTGGCTGCCTCCCCAAGATTGACGGCAAAACCCACATTCTTATCCGATATTTGAAACCAACCAGACAGCTCGCCAACCATTCATTGGTTAGTTATATCATCATATTGTTGATCTATTGTTGCTTAAGTATGTTTTACATTAAGTACCGCATATGAATAATTGCATATGATATATTGGTGAACTTACCCTTTTCTAATCTAATACAGCTATGGAAAATGGTCCCTTTGCAGATGATTGACCTATTTTAAGAAGTTGTCTTTCCGTAGCTATCGCCAGATGGTAATTATCATGTTATGTGATAAGATATTTAACCTCAAGCTTATCAATCTACTACCACCCATCTACTTAAGCCTACAATATGATCCCCAATCGACTATGATTAGCTTATCAATTCACTGGTTATATGAATCAAGTTCTCTTAGAGGGCGGGATTAGTCAAGTGGTCAGTAACTGCCCTTTCTATTTTGGGCTTGAGTAGAAAGCTTAATGCAGTGAGCAAAACATAGATGAGCGCATTCATTCCATTCAGACAGAGATGCTCTTAGCAACCTGCCGTAGCAGTGTGCCATGACTTTAGTGCCAAGAAACCACGCCTCTGGTTTTTAATTCTGACTTTATGTTAGCTCTTTGAATTCAAACATGATTTTGGGTCATCGCCCAAACCCAAGACATCTGTATATAATATATTTACAAATTTGTGTATTACATATAATGTATATAATATAACATATATATATATATTATACATAGAGAGAGAGAGAGATGTTTTTTCCCCATCAAAAATCACCAGCATCTGTTTTTGTCCCCCAAAAGATTCAGGCCCTGTGTTTCAGGTGGCTTGACTGGCGGTCTTTGGTTGCTGACCGCGTTGCCAACACCGTGCCTTGGCCCTGCAAATTCAGGGGAAAACCATGGAAGACTGCACAGAAAGCCCTTTAATCTACTGGAGAATCATCATTTCCCTATGAAAACATATGAGAAGTTGCCATAATCTATGATTTGCACCGATTTTTATGGCCCTTGAAAAAAGGTCCGTAGGTCGCCCACATCTGGATGTTCGTGTTCTTGGGGATAACAACCTGTCACAAGCCACGGGGTAAGGGGATCAAGAAACCACCAAGATAAATGGTGGATATCATGGTGAGATTTTCTGGCATGGGATAGAGTGGGAATGATAGAAAGAACCAACAAAAAATTATATTTAAGAATAAGATTTTGTTAGGGAACATGTACCTCCCTCCTGCAAACCAACATAGATGTGGAACACCCACCATAAACGTATCATTTTTCCCAACAAATTTCCCAATGGGTTTTCCGCATCTTTTTGAAGCAGTTTACCCTGTATGAAGGCCCAGACTTGCATACCTCAGTATTGACTGTTGATATATGTCCTATTTCACAATACCTATTAAGAATATATCATTAAGATCAATGAATGATGTTTTACCCTAGGGTCATATGAAATCATATGAAATCATGTGAAATCATATGAAATCACATAGCTATGGATCCTTCTATTAAAAAAAAAAAAAAACTATGAAAATATAGCATTTTTAGGAGGGGAATTTTCACATCCACTGAAGGCCCCATTCCTCGCTTTGGACTCAGGTCTTTGAGGGTCTCCTGGATGCCCCCGACCTGGTGAACCTGGCGCAACTGGAGCGACACTTTGGATGCTCGGCAGGGCAGGTGGTGGTTGGAAATCGCCTGGAAAATCCCGAAAAAAAAGTGGATGATTTGGGGGTCCCCATATTTTAGGAAGCTTCATGTTGGAAAATATGGCAAACAATGAGATCAAGAATGGCCAGTGATGGCGATGTGTACTGAAGAACCAGGTGATGATTAGTGATTCAGCCATGCAAAAATGGGAAGGTCTCCCAATCCACGACGGAAATGATGAAGAGTTGATGGGCTGTACTTTCTGGTTTACTGTAGTGGAGATTCTGGATGAACCCGCCAGGGTCTCTTGTTCGTAATGCTTGGAGTCTTGGAGTGAGATGTTTGGGGGTGATCTTCAGCGGAGTAGCAGCCCCATCAATCAAAATAGTCAATAGTGGCTGACGGTTCCACTTAATCGCGCCAATACGAATCAACTTGCTGAGTGCAGTTGTTTTTGGTATTTAAGGTGAACCCCGGTGAACCCCCCTAAACTGCTGAAAGATCAGTAAGACTCATTATTTGTTTGCCAGTTTTTGAAACAATCCAGAGAATCAGAGGATTCCAGGAATCTCGAGACATCACATATACATAACATATATACATATTCATATCTGGTTGGTGGTTTGGAACATGTTTATTTTTCCATATATTGGGAATAATCATCCCAACTGACTTTTATATTTTTCAGAGGGGTTGAAACCACCAACCAGATATACATAACATATATATATATATCCATTGCAACAACTCAGACATCTCCATGCGCATTGCTGTAGGCCATCGCACAGAGAGCAGCAAGGCGATGGCAGTGCAGAGCAGCAAGGAGTGTTGATCAACGACTTTTCGGAATCTTTTGTGGGTTGCTATACTGTAGTTTGAACATTGCACTCATTTGTTGGCCATCAATGGGGATGTGTATATATATAATATATATATATATGCATATACATATATATACATACATACATATTATATATATATATATATTTGTTGTGGATTAGATTCATGGTGTGATATTTTTTGGAGGGAATGGAAGAGGACTTCACCGGACATTGCAGTCCAGCCATACAAAGCTGAGAGTTCAGCACCAAAATTGCTTTTTTTTTTGGATACAATGCGCCGACTTGATATAGCTATTTCTTTAGAAATAAACCGTAAATATTTCGAGTCAAATTGGGATACACACACAATCATTAAAAGGCGCGGCTGATATTATCTATATTTTATATATGCACGTGTATGTACACATAAATATATATGATATATTGTATATATCGTATCGTATATAGATAGCCCACATGATATCCCATATCCCAAAATGTGGTTGGTTGAAATCAGCACACCCTCCGTTAATTTAACATTGCTATGGAAAATGGTCCATTTATAGTGGATTTACCCATTGAAAATGGTGATTTTCCATAGCTATGTTAAATTTTGATGGTGATTTATCCATAGCTATGTTATGGACTGATTTATATTCTTAAGCTACTAAAAATGGTGATGTTCCCTATCATGGTTAAACATGATGATGAGTGTCCCTATTAAAATTGGTGAGATTACCAAAACATATTTACCTATATATTTAGTTATACTTACCTGTACATTTATATACATTTATGGTTGGAATCATCACATCAATCCCATCCAAAGCTCCACCAGGAGGTCGAGATGGTCGAGATCCTCTCCCAGCGCCGTGCACAGAACATGTTGATCGCTTTCAGGTCCCTTTTTGGGGACGGGAGGAGCCGGTGGTTTGTTGATGGCTGGCTTCGCCCCCAGCCAATCTGTATCCCAACTGGTTGGTGGTGTCAAACATGTTTTATCCATTTCATATCTGGGATGTCATCCTTCCCATTGACGAACTCCATCATTTTTCAAGATGGTTAGTTTACCACCAAGCAGCCAATTTGTTGGGATCTAAGGCCGTGATTTCTTGGGTTTTGAGTGGTGGCTGACTGGCAACTGTCACTAAAATTGAGGTGGCTTGATGGGAGAATCATGGTTTTGTAACTGTGACTACCGGAGGGTAACCCTATAAATGTATATATATATATATAATATATGTATAGTAACCCCAAAAAAGATAGAAGTTGGTAATGTTGTTCTACTAGTGATGAAGGACTTTTCTATCTTTTTGAGGTGGGCTATAGATACATCTAGCATAAATCCAATAATTATGGGTGTTATTCCAACTTAGCGATGTAGCTCACTGCAGCAGCACCATCAAGTTTGGTGGCGTGCTGTTTCTCTGTGGAAAATCACTGCAAAACAGATTAAGCAAGAGGTAGAAACATGGTGAAACATCTTAGGAACAAAATATATATGTACTTCAAGTCCCAAATGTCCTCCATTTTCAAGATGTCTCGCCATGTTTTTCGTTGAACATCATCAGAAATTCACGAGTTTCAACATATTTTCGGTGGCCCAAGTCATGTGGGTTTCCCCTGGTTTCATCCAGTCAGGCCATGGATTTTTAGTCCTGCAGATCCCTCCATGGATCGAGGCGGCAGGCGTTGACACCAGAGTTGCTGAGGGCCATGGAAGACTTGGAATTCTCCTGGCTCAGCAGCTGGGACTGTGGTTTCTTCGGTGAGTTGGATGATTTGGAGGAAAGCCAAAAAACTTACTGGTGCGTTCTACGTAGGGAATGGATGGGAATGAATGGGATTATTATTGATAGTTATTGTGGATCATTCCTGAAAATTCCCTACTAAGCACAAGTATAAGTATATAGGACGGAACAATTCGGAACGCTGTGCCAAGAGTGTTGAAGTGTAGAGTAAAATCCTGTCGGAAAATGGGGATAAGTGACAACTCACTTTTCTAAACTTATGTGGAGGTTACTCAAGTCCCCCTTCTCGCCCAATGAGAGTCTCCAAGGAAATCTTGGTCCAATGTTTTGGGAGATGGGACTTTGCTGGGAGATAGCCAAGTCATGGGAGGGTGAGAGTTCTCTGGTGGATGGAGAAAAATGGCCAAGTCAGTAGCGAATTCTGGTAATTTAACATAGCTATTGAAAATGGCCATTTATAGTGAGGTTTCCCATTAAAAATTGTGATTTTCCATAGCTATGTTAAATTACCAGAGGGTACCTTCTGGTAAACGTTTACATAGCTCTTGAAAGATTCACCATGCTATTTCTATGGGAAAATTCACGAACTCAATGGGCCATATTTTCCATAGCTATTTTGACATAACCAGAGGGGTCAACCATCAACCAGTTGATCATTAGATGATTCACCATCATTAACCATATATAATAACCATTAATATATTAATCATTATTAACAGTATATTAACCATTAACCAAAGGGTAAACCTCCATTTTCCTATGGTTTTCCCATTAAAACCTCCATCAAAAAAAAGCCACCAGGAAAGTCCCCGAAGAAAAAAACCACGGATGTTCCAGGCACGGAAACGCTGGAGGTGCTCTTATCGGCCATGCCCACGGCTGAGGCGTGAAGCCATGGTGACCCTGGTGATTTTCGGAGATGGGATTATGGTCATGATCCTTGCCATCCCCCAGGTGAGTGGTAAATCCCATGAAATCCCCATGAAAATCCAGTGGTTGAATCATCCCCAGATGTTGCAATGCCTTGAAATATTCCCCATGTTTTGCGAAACTCCAGGAAGAGAAAGAGCTGCTGGGCTACAGCGGTGAGAAGTCGGAGCTGCGCTTGCTGGAGCAGGTAGGACTTCACCGGAAGATGGATTTGGAAATTGGCGAAGATGGAGGATTTCCTAGTACAGTCCTTCAATTTCACTATGGAAACCTCAAGAGTTGGGTATGAAAGATGATTTTCCTGTTGGATTAAACCGGTGGGCTCCATGTGAAGTTTGGGGAGTGTAAGATGCTGATTTGTGTGATTGCAAGCAAAAACTTACCTGTTTAAAGTGTCCAAGGGTTGTCATGAGATACCTATGGATAAACAGGGATGATTTCATATTGAGGTTTACTGAAAATGAGAAAATAAGATCTAAGTCGTCCAACTTTGCTTGGCAGCCCCAAACCAAGCGTTTTGGTTGCTTGACAAACTCATCATTTATCCTCAAGTCTTGTTGAAGTCCCGACGTTTCCCAAAGTGTGTTGGTTTACTGTATTATACACCCATTTGTAGTTGGTCAAATCCCCAACTAGTTGGTTGTATCCCCATCATGTTGGTTGAACATATAATACAATCGCTCCCAATTGTTGATCATTAATATCCCCATGAAGTCACCATGGTTGTTGGTTATATACTCCAGTTTGAATTTAAATCAGCTACAATGCACTGTAATGCACTCATTGAATTCCATTCTGTTAACCCATGTTAGTTGGTGAAACTACTGTTTTTTGGGCCAGTAAAATCTCCAACATTTGCTTCAGGTTGCCATCCACTGCATCTTTGAGGCTTTCAAACACACAAAGGGCCTCCAGAGTTTCACCATTTTCAGTGACTTCCCAGGGTTTTCCATGGTTTTTCCATGGTTTTTCCCCATGGAAACGGCAAAAATTCCGCCAGGAGCTGCTTCCCTTCGCCTCGCTGGTGCCTTCTGCCCAGCAGCGCCTGAGCCTGGCCCTGCTGCAGCGCGACCTCCGCGAGCGCGCCCAGCTGCTGCGGCGGCGCTTGACGGCGCTGCGCACGGCGGCCATGGGCATGCGCAGCAGCGGTGCCTTCGTTGGGCAGTTTGGGGTGGGAGTGGTGGTGGAAGTCACCGCTGAAATGGTGATTTTCATTGATTTTCTATGGGGATCATAAATCGATTGAAGCATGGAGAAGATGAAAAAACGATGGGGATGTCTCGATGGGATCTCACTGAGTGATCTCACCATTCAATTTTTTATGACAGGATTTCGGAAGTGAATGATTTTTCAAGCATCATTGTTAAAGAGATTTCATGGTGTGGTTCACGATGTTTTTAGCATGATTTCAATGATTTAATCACTTGTATCTGTGGCATGCTGAGACGGTTGGGGTACGACCAACAAAAATGGGAAGAAATACCCATTAATGAATGGAGATGAAATCAGCAGAAAGTGGATACAACCAGCAGAAGAGAAAGAAATATTGATAGGGGTCGAATTGGTGGATACTAGTTTTAAAAAAATGGTGGTATTTAGTCAACAACCATGCGTGAGTGATGGGTATGGATTTGTCCAAAAATGGGGATACCAAATTTAAGTGTCCATGTTCATAGAAAAAAATATCCTAAACAATTGGATTTCAGTGGTACCCTATTTTCAAACAAGCTCACAGGTAGATTTGACTAGCAAATTGTGCTTCAAGCTGATTTGCTACTGATGTTGTCTAGTTAGGCAGTACGTCGAGTTGCCACCTGCATGTAGAAATGTTGTCTTGTTCAGTGAAAATATGGGAGGTCACTGGCAAAAATGTCTCTCCACGAGCAAGGCATGGGGATATACTGTAACCATGGGAAAATGGAATGACTCGACTAAAAGTGGAGCTTTAAGCAACCGAGAATCGCAAAAAGGAATATTCTAGATTCCTGTAAGTAAAGATTGCCATTTCAGCAGCCAAAGATAGATGCAGCCAACTCGAAATATGAAAGTTTCCCAACCTGAAATGGTGAGTACTCGAAGGTAATCCCATTCCCAAAACGGGACCAAGGTTGTGGTGGGCATATCCCAACTTATGGAGGTGAACTCAGCATGGTGCCATCTTACCCTCTGGTAAACTAACATAGCTATTGAAAATGGCCATTTATAGTGGATTTTCCCATTAAAAATTGTGATTTTCCATAGCTATGTTAAATTACCAGAGGGTACCCAGTCACGTTGACCTTACCCCCATTTTTCGCCTCAAGCGACTGGGCCATTTGGCCCAGTGGTTTTCAGGTGCCTTCCAGCAGACCTTGCGACACGTGCTGTTGCTGGGCAATGCGCTGAACGGTGGAGATGAAGTCGCAGCTGCTCAGGGCTTTTCGCTGGAGGTCCTCGGCTGAGAGCGGTGATGGTGAAAACTAAGGGTTTTCATAAGAGAAATGTAGGAAAAAACATCAACGAATGGGGCTGGCTAATTGTCATTTCAAATTCATTTCATATATAGTAGAAAGACCTCTGCAGGACACCCTGATATTTGGCAAAAAACCCAGGCCGATTCAGGTCTGTTTCAGGTTTTTATACATGGTCCATGGTCCCTTAAAGAAATCCAGTGAAGCATCATGTTTGATTCAATACCCTCTGGTAAATAAACATAGACCCTGAAAATCACCCATTTTTAATGGAAACTAGTCTTCCAACCCCTATCTGCCAGGGTCTATGTTAGTTTACTGGAGGGTAACTTCACAAATTTGTGCCGGTTGAATTCCTATCTTGCCCCATCTTCAACTCGGTGCGAGGCGTTGGCGCGTTTGCCTTTGAGCAAAGCCACCAGCGATCCGCGCGTGAACTTGTGGCCTGCCTTTAGCAGTGGTATTTTATGGCAATGCAGTGGGAGCTTTATGATAGGAATTTAGGAATTGTATATATATAATTGTATATATATATATATAATTGTATATATATATGATATATCGGATATAGAATGAATGGCATATTTCTTGGGATTTTTTTTTGGATCTTACGTAGGATGTGGATGCAGAAATTTTGTCAACAGTGATTTAACCGGTGAAATCACTGTGTGGGATGTGATGGGATATGACTAGCAGTATGATATATCTGGGTAAATTCTAACGACCTCACTGCGACCGAACCCTGGAAATCATGGTTAATAAGGGAAATCATCCCCAAATGGCCGCAAGATTCAGGTTAGTGAAATATTATAATTTACCCAGATATATGGGTGTGTCTGAAAATGGGGCATAGCCCCAATGAACATGGCATTTTAGGATCTACTGTAAATCTAGCTACATAATTTATGCCACATCATAAGTATCGAAATCCATCAGGTGGCTCATAAGTTCACATTGTAAGAAATTGCAGTATCTGAAAAATATGGGCATACCACCAAATAAGACAGCATTTTCATGAATCTTAAGCAACAAAAAACCATTGTAAACCAACTGACATAGCGGATATTCACAAATTGGAACAGGTTTGTTGACATGGTGGAAGATGCCCCCAATGATCTTGGGATACTGGGGGTCGAACCAGGAAAGGTGGGTTTGATACAAACGGGTCCCCAGTGAATCCCAGTGATGTTTTGGATTTGCATGAATCTTAGCCAAACTTCATGAAACGCTATTGAAACTAACATAGCTATTGAAAATGGCCATTTATAGTGGTTTTACCCATTAAAAATGGTGATTTTCCATAGTTACGTAAACGTTTACCAGAGGGCAACCTAGTGGATCTGAAGAGATTTTCATGGATCTTTTGGCGAGACGCACCGTTGAGATGAACATCCTTGCGGGGCATTGTGCAGAATTCTCCCGGCGAGTACATGCCATTGCATATATTGCATGCAGAAGATTAGACACATATTAGATACATGGAATAAATTTCAATCTGAATGATGGCTTTAAAGAGTCTTACATACCTTTCCGTTTTGTCAATCCATTTTGCGAAGGGTTTGAAGGTGGAAGATGCTCTGCCATAGGTTGAAACATGTTGAAACCACAACCCACATGTGGCTTGCTGCGTCTTCAGCCCCAGCTCAATGTGAAAGGCTCCATTTGCTGGTGCTGCAGATGAAGGCAGCTGATCCACTTTTGCCTGAGATGCTCGGTGTATGACAATTTTCAAGGATGAATTCATGATGAACAATGCAGGAAATGAATGTAAAATAATGTAAATGATGTAACGATATGTAATGCAGATATGACTTAAGGGTAAAACCAATGTGAGTAATTAAATGATTAGATATTGGACAAGCCAATCTGGTCAATGATGTCACTCAATCGATTAATATTAACGAGCGTTACACCAATATGAGTAACACGTGTCTACTGATGCTGAAGGATGGATACACACATAGTAAATGTTAGGATGGACTTGTGGAGCGGTCGTATTGTAAACGGTAAACGAGCTTAAACAATGTAGCTCAGTGGCAGTGGCTACAAAGCCATTTTCTTTCAGTGTACATTATATTGAATTGTAATGAATTGTATTTATGTATTGTAATAAATACAAAAACATGTGAAGTGATTCTGCTTTGTCAATAATATACAGTTCGGAAACACTCAGTTCTCAGCTAGTGTTGTTCATGGTTGCCACCGATTCGGACAGGGATTTTGATCCCAAACGCATTGGATATTGGTCAAGATTCACTTGTTTGGGTTCCTAGATTTTTTCCTGTGTGTGACACATTGCCAGATGTTTTGTGCGGTTGATGTGCGGGAAAGAGGCCAGGAAAGCTCTGCCAAAACAACATGGTGCTTCAAGTCTTGATGTCTTTTTGGATTCGTGGAAAGCTGCCAACCAGAACCACAAGGTGTGATCAAGAATCATCGGTCTCCCCAGAAATCAATGCATCTGACCCTCGAGGACAGTCTGTTTCACCTACTGCAGTTGAGGTTGTGAATGGCGAAAAAAAAACAATGGTGGTTTTTGCCCCATAACTATGCCCAAAGGGCCATCAATAGGATTTTCTCGGGATATTGATCATTACCCAGTGGACTTGGTACCCTGACAGACCATAGATGTCCTTTTCCCACTGGTTGGTTGATTAATACCCTCTGATTTAACATAGCTATGGAAAATCACATTTTTTTAATGGGAAAACTCACTACAAATGGCCATTTTCAATAGCTACGTTAAATTACCAGAGGGTAGAGGGGTTGACAGGTACCCTATTGACAGGTACCCAGCGTTGAGGATCACTTGTGCCCAGGAAGTTGCTGGAGGATTTAGCGCCCATGAGACTGGTGGCGCCTTGACGCGGTGGATGGTGAAAATGAGTTCGGTGGATGCCACAATTGGTGAAAAAAAAGGATTCCTAGCCGAGGAAAAGACCTAAACAAGACAGAAAAATACTTTTTTTTAAGATTGTAATTTTAAAGCGCTGCAAAAAGTGCCAAAATTAAGAGGAAAACCAGCAAAGAAAACAAAGTTAAGCATCCTAAAGGCTCAAGAAAGAAGCTTAAACAAGACAGAAAGAGCCATAGCTTGACCTTCAAGCTTGCAAATTGTTCAGCGGCCAAGCTAACAAGCTCATCAAAAAATTCAAAAAGAACAGTTTGTTTTTTTTCAGGTAGCGCTTGTAACATCCCATTTTCGAGGGCCTTCTTCATGGAAGGAAAAATCCTTCCAAAAAAGAATGTTCCGAGGAACACAAAGAAGAAAGGTCAATCTGCCGTGGTGATTCACAAATGATTGACAGGTTGAGATGAGTCCTTCACTCAAAAAATGAAAAGAAGACTGATTGGACATGTTTAGCAGGGGTGTCAGTTCCGGCTTAGCTCAGTCGGTAGAGCGTAAGCATGTTAACGCTGAAACTCCTGGTTCGATCCCGGGTCAGAACATCTTTGCACGAGTGATGATTCTTGGGTGTGGTCATGTAGACACGAATGATGCTTCTTGTGTGGTCATGCAGGCATGAATGATGATTCTTGCATCCGCAGCTATTTGCTAATCAAGCTAACGCAGCGCACCTGACCGTGTGTCATGGATCAGCCGCTGGCCATGAAGAAGAGCCGCCGTGCCAAAAAGACGTCTACCAAGATGCAAAAGGCACGCAAGCTGGAACTGCGCAAGGGCCTGCAAGCCCCGAGAACGGATGTCCCGCCGCTGAAAGAGGTCTCCCATGCGGAGTTTCAAGCCGCGAAAAGGGAGGAGAAGAAGAACCTGAAGCGGGCGGCCAAGGTCAAGAAAGTGGGCGAGAAGAAGCCCTATCTCCAGGAAGGCGACAACTGCCCGACCTTGGCCAAAATCAGGGGCAACGCGACGAAGTCGCAGAGGGGTGCCACCTTCACCAATCCGTTCAGTTCCAGTTCTTCCAGGGCATCAGGAGGTGACGGGCCGGGGCTTTAGTTTTGTTGCTGCTGTTGTCTTAAAAAAAAGCAATCCTCAGGAAAAGCAGCACTGTGTGTTGCAAGGCGAGTTATCGTTCATATGTTTGTAGATATTTGTAGACTTACCTGGCTGGTGTTGAATGAGATCCAGCAGCTCTCCCATGTAAGGTTGTGTAGTTCACTAAACTCTCAACCACCTTTCCCTTTGCTCTTTCCCTTTCCTCTTTCCCCTTTCCCTTTCCTCTTTCCCCTTTCCCTTTGCTCTTTCCCTTTCCTCTTTTCCCTTCCTCCTTCCCTTTGCTCTTTCCCTTTCCTCTTTCCCTTTACTCTTTCCTCTTTACTCTTTCCCTTTACTCTTTTTACGTATGACCATTGTGAGTGTCATAAATGATCATATCACCATGTCCATTCCATCTTCTGAACAGTATGATAAAAATATTCGACAGTAACACATCCATAAATGGTAGAACCATTGACCACATTGGTCAAATAGGAACGAGTATCTATAGTGTACCTGTAAACTGGGAGTTACTGGCATCTGACAAAGTCGTACCTGTTTTAGGAAAAAATCGTTGTGCCTTGGGGAAGTGTGTTTCGCAAAAGTCGTGCCTTTAGCAAGAACGCATAGGAACTCTGGAGTTTGGATATGTAACCCGTTTTCTTATGAGATCGCGTAGCTGATCACTATTAGCATGCAGAATTCCAGGTTGTGGGTATGTTAATTAGTTATAGGTAAGATGGCGTTGAGCTGGTGATTTGATGATTTTGGATGTTCATCCCAGATGATCCTGTTTTTCCCGAATGCGTAGCGAAGGGTTTGTTCGCCTCGAGTGGCTCGTCGCGTCGTCGTCGGGTCGGCGTCGCGTCGTCGTCGCGTCGTTAATTCCGTGTCTATACTCCTTTTCGAAGGTTTCCAAGCAAGTTGTCATGTCGTTTTTCCGTGGCAGGCGTGGCACTTTGTCACATTCCAACCTGTTTGAAAACGTGTCGAAAGTGTCAAAATTGGAGGACGTCTCGCACGAAATGCTCGTTTTGCTGCGCCCACGTGTCTCGTCTCGAGTCTCCGGTTTTCCTGTGGCATCGCCGTGTCTATGGGGGAAGCTGCAAAACCTCTCCTTTTCGAAGGTTTCCAAGCGGGTTGTCATGTCAGTTTGTAGCACAAAGTAGTACTGGGAAGTAGTTTGCGCAAGCTTTGTAGTACAAAGTAGTACTGGGAAGTGCTTTGTGCAAGCTTTGTAGTACAAAGTAGTACTGGGAAGTGCTTTGTGCAAGCTTTGTGGTACAAAGTGGCTCTGGGAAGTGCTTTGTGCAAGCTTTGTAGTACAAAGTAGTACTGGGAAGTGCTTTGTGCAAGCTTTGTAGTACAAAGTAGTACTGGGAAGTGCTTTGTGCAAGCTTTGCGGTACAAAGTAGTACTGGAAAGTATTTTGTGCTTGCTTTATATTACACAGTAGTACTGGGAAGTGCTTTGTGCAAGCTTTGTAGTACAAAGTAGTACTGGGGAGTGCTTTGTGCAAGCTTTGTAGTACAAAGTAGTACTGGGGAGTGCTTTGTGCAAGCTTTGTAGTACAAAGTAGTACTGGGAAGTACTCTGTGCAAGCTTTGTAGTACAAAGTAGTACTGGGAAGTCCTTTGTGCGAGCTTTGTAGTACAAAGTAGTACTGGGAAGTGCTTTGCGCAAGCTTTCTAGTACAAAGTAGTACTGGGAAGGACTTTGTGCAAGCTTTGTAGTAAAGAGTAATACTGGGAAGTACTTTGTGCAAGCTTTGTGGTACAAAGGTACAAAGTAGTACTGGGAAGTGCTTTGTGCAAGCTTTGTAGTACGTAAAGTAGTACTGGGAAGTGCTTTGCGCAAGCTTTGTAGTACAAAGTAGTACTGGGAAGTACTCTGTGCAAGCTTTGTAGTACAAAGTAGTACTGGGAAGTGCTTTGTGCAAGCTTTGTAGTACAAAGTAGTACTGGGAAGTGCTTTGTGCAAGCTTTGCGGTACAAAGTAGTACTGGAAAGTATTTTGTGCTTGCTTTATATTACACAGTAGTACTGGGAAGTGCTTTGTGCAAGCTTTGTAGTACAAAGTAGTACTGGGAAGTGCTTTGTGCGAGCTTTGTAGTACAAAGTAGTGCTGGGAAGTGCTTTGCGCAAGCTTTGTAGTACAAAGTAGTGCTGGGAAGTGCTTTGTGCAAGCTTTGTAGTACAAAGTAGTACTGGGAAGTGCTTTGTGCAAGCTTTGTAGTACAAAGTAGTACTGGGAAGTGCTTTGCGCAAGCTTTGTAGTACAAATTAGTACTGGGAAGTACTTTGTGCAAGCTTTGTAGTACAAAGTAGTACTGGGAAGTGCTTTGTGCAAGCTTGGTAGTACAAAGTAGTACTGGGAAGGACTTTGTGCAAGCTTTGTAGTACAAAGTAGTGCTGGGAAGTAGTTTGTGCAAGCTTTGCAGTACAAAGTAGTACTGGGAAGTGCTTTGTGCAAGCTTTGTAGTACAAAGTAGTACTGGGAAGTGACCCAGAGAATAGAAAATATTGATGCAGAATCCCAGCGTTGACATGCAGGTTGCACACGAGAATGACATTATAAGAGAGTAGAAAATCAATATTTTCACCAATCGCGTTCCATTGTGTTTCATGTGCTTTTCATGTCTAAAATGCATGCTTACATTTTTATTGAGGATAGCGTTCCAAGCAGAAAAGCATTTAGGCATGACTTAGGCATGACTTCTTGGATACAGCGTTTACAATGGTAAATGCCATTCAAAAACATGCTAGGCATGACTTAGGCGTGATGATTCTTGGGTGTGGTCATGTAGACACGAATGATGCTTCTTGTGTGGTCATGCAGGTATGAATGATGATTCTTGCATCCGCAGCTATTTGCTAATCAAGCTAATGCAGCGCACCTGACCGTGTGTCATGCATCAGCCGCTGGCCATGAAGAAGAGCCGCCGTGCCAAAAAGACGTCTACCAAGACGCAAAAGGCACGCAAGCTGGAACTGCGCAAGGGCCTGCAAGCCCCGAGAACGGATGTCCCGCCGCTGAAAGAGGTCTCCCATGCGGAGTTTCAAGCCGCGAAAAGGGAGGAGAAGAAGAACCTGAAGCGGGCGGCCAAGGTCAAGAAAGTGGGCGAGAAGAAGCCCTATCTCCAGGAAGGCGACAACTGCCCGACCTTGGCCAAAATTAGGGGCGACGCGACGAAGTCGCAGAGGGGTGCCACCTTCACCAATCCGTTCAGTTCCAGTTCTTCCAGGGCATCAGGAGGTGACGGGCCGGGGCTTTAGTTTTGTTGCTGCTGTTGTCTTAAAAAAAGCAATCCTCAGGAAAAGCAGCACTGTGTGTCGCAAGGCGAGTTATCGTTCATATGTTTGTAGATATTTGTAGACTTACCTGGCTGGTGTTGAATGAGATCCAGCAGCTCTCCCATGTACGGTTGTGTAGTTCACTAAACTCTCAACCACCTTTCCCTTTACTCTTTCCCTTTCCTCTTTCCCCTTTCCCTTTCCTCTTTCCCCTTTCCCTTTGCTCTTTCCCTTTCCTATTTTCCCTTCCTCCTTCCCTTTGCTCTTTCCCTTTTCTCTTTCCCTTTCCTCTTTCCTCTCTCCCTTAACTCTCTCCCTTTACTCTTTCCCTTTCCTCTTTCCCTTTACTCTTTCCTCTTTACTCTTTCCCTTTACTCTTTTTACGTATGACCATTGTGAGTGTCATAAATGATCATATCACCATGTCCATTCCATCTTCTGAACAGTATGATAAAAATGTTCGACAGTAACACATCCATAAATGGTAGAACCATTGACCACATTGGTCAAATAGGAACGAGTATCTATAGAATGATTGTAGTGTACCTGTAAACTGGGAGTTAAAACCAAAGTTTCACAATGCTTAGAGGCAAAACCCCGTCATTATATAGAATATGGCCATTGTGGATCATTTGTGGATATTGGAATAGGATATATACATATACGTATAATTGAATAAATTGTATGTATTGGATAATAATTATATAATGAGATGATATTGCAAATTATGATGTTGTATATTATATCCACAATTTATATCCATCTATATTACTAGTAGCTACCAGCTACCAATGTTTATATCCATCTATATTATATTGGCTATCTGTATAGGTCATAATGGGATAAAAACTTGCATTATAATAGGACCTAATAGGATATATGACTATACCACTATCTATCAATATTCATTATGTATATCCACTATATCCACTACTATCACTTCTTGACATGGCCATTATAGTATTTTATATTTATATATTGATCTATAGATCACTACTGTAATTAGATGAATAACTATCCATTATATCCATCAATATAATTTAGATATAGTATGGATATGCAAATTCTATTATATAAGTATTATTAATAGCTGTATTCCTATTATCTACTACATATCATTACATATCCATACATTGTATCTATACAGATGGACATCACTAATATAGATCTACAATTTAAGCAGATGCTCTTTTAGTATAGATATAACTGATATTATCCATCTACTATTAAAACCGTATTGAATAGCTATTATTTCTATATAACTATTATCTATATGGACATCACTAATATAAATTCGAAATATTTAAACTAGTTACTATTATCTATATTGACATAACTATATTTATTCCTTTATTTATTACTATATAGCTATTATTTATATAACTATTGTCTATATAACTATTATCTATATAACGATTATCTATATAACTATGATCTATATATAACTGTTATCTATATAACTATGATTTATATAGTTATTATCTACATGTAACTATTATCTATATAACTATTATCTATCTATATATAACTATTATCTGTCTATATTTAACTATTATCTATATAACTATTATCTATATATAACTGTTATCTATATAACTATGATTTATATAGTTATTATCTACATGTAACTATTATCTATATAACTATTATCTATCTATATATAACTATTATCTTTCTATATATAACTATTATCTATATAACTATTATCTATATAACTATTATCTACATAACTACTGGAGACATCACTAATATAAATCCCTTCTTGATTTCTCCAACGGCCAAGGCCTCCCTGCCCCTGCCGCAGCTCTCCCTGGAGCTGCGCGGCTTCGCAAATGACGTGGCCGCGGCCAAGGCGGTGCTGCGCCGCGCCTTTCCGGTGCCCTGGCGGAACCAACGGGGGGCCCTTGGGACCTTGGGGGCGACCGGGAGATGGGATGAAAAGGTGGGAAAATGATGGGAAAATGATGTCAATAGCTTGGTTGGCTCGGGAAAATCTTCACCGAAACCATGGTACAATCCCGAGTCACCAAGAACTGAGTGGATGTCTATCAAGGATCTTTTTGAAAGATGATGTGAGCATTTGCAACCAGGTCCGGAATGGACAAGGTCCATGCTATGAAAAGTTACACTCATCGGTTCAGCAACCCCGATGGAATCAGCGAATTCAGGACTCTTCAGACCCAGCAGGTCCAGTCCGGGTCGCGTTTCCCGTTGCTAAGGGATTTGATTCACCACAACAATTCTTTATCGGCGACACAGAGCCAGATGGGGAGCAGGAGAAGGGAGGGCGAAGTTGTCTGGGGTCGGCTAGTCATGGAATTTTGTAGATTCAAACAAAACAACAACTGGGGGCAAATCGACCCTCCAGATTTGCTTGTGTCTTGTGCGGCATGTGATATACCATGGGCATCATCTGGTTGGTGGTTTCAAACATGTTTTTCCATAATATATGGGATAATCCTTCCCATTGACTAATATTTTTCAAGATGGTTAAAACCACCAACCAGTCATGTATTAGCCGTGACTCATAGACCTTGGTGGAAGATCTTGACAGGAGGAGGAGACCAGGGTGCCACCGTTGCCCGGCTGCAGCCAAGAAAATCTGGATTTGTTTGTCCATTTTTCGGGCTGAAAAATATGACACTTCAAGGGTGTTCCAGAACTAATTGCTGGTATTCCAATAAATTTCTGGCGATAGTCCATTTATAAGTTGCGGAATTGGATCATGGGAAGATTAGATTTACAGGACAGCCCCAATCAATTTTAGGAGCTAAAAACACCATGGAAAATCCGGTTGGGATTTTCCGTAACAAAAACCCATCCATTTCATATTGTTGGTTAGTTGTATTCCCAGTATTTCCCAATATATCCCCCTGATCTCCACATTAAAAAACACAAAAAAATGACTTAGAATTTTCGGATATATAGGATATTTCGACTTAGAATGGGGATAGTTCTTTCTATTTTGAATTCGGATATTTCGACTTAGAATTTTATGACGAGCTGCAGATTTCCAGATGCAGATCCAGATCTATTTTCGGGGCCTCCATGTGATGCACGCGGGCGCCCAAGGAGCAACGGTTGCATCGCTCAACATCTGCTGCGGGAGGTCTACCTGCGGATCTCTCAGGCGACTGCCAATGTGGCCTGGACTTTTGGCATCCAACCATGCCCGTAAATGATATATATATATAAATTTATTTATTTATTTATTCATTTATTTATTTATTCATTTATTTGTTTATTTATTTATAATTATATATGTATATAGTAGTAGTGCGTTTACTATATTTTTCCTTACTAATCAATAGTGAATGGTAAAATGTTCCGACTGAGACCCAGAATTCATCTTAAGTGGTCCATCCCAAAGCCCACGCCAGGCGCCTCCCAAGCCCATGAAGCAGATGGCCAGCATGGCGGCGGAGAATGCCGAGCAATTGCAGGCCTTATCGGGGCCAAGGGCCAAGGGCTTCAGAATTGGCCAAGGCCATGGCTGGATGAGTTGGCCATGTATAACTATAAATTACTATAATACTGGCATTGATAATGGTGGATTATAGTAAAAATTACTAACCTATAGCTGGATCCAGAACTATAATTAATTGGATATAATTGGATATTGGTGAGTATAGATGTAAATTAATAGATGTAAATTACTATAACAATGTGATAAGTTACTTACTATAATTGAATACGGCCCATGGTTGATTGGTGGTTGAGACTTGCTCACCAATTATAGCATGGCGACGCAGGGTCGTAGATTCAAATAGAATCATATAGATTTGAGTATGAGCTAATATACCCTCTAGTAATCAAGCGTGGCTATGGAAAATTCGCCATTTATAGTTGATGTTCCCATTGGAACCTCCATTTAGTTAAGTGTTTTTCCAGCTAACCACGTTTGATTGCCAGAAGGTAGTTAAAATATGTTAAAATGATCTAGTGCTTGTAATGCGGGAAATATCACAATAGAAGCGACTACAATGGGGTTAAACCGTACCTTGGGACTCAATCAACAAGACTGGGAATGCAGCCAGTAAACCATAGCGATCGAAGATGTCTGCTTTATCACTGGTGTTTTTGAATAGAATCTTATACATTACCATTTTTAAGAAATAATCTAAATAGCGATGTTGATGATTACATGTATCATGATTTTGTATCTCTATACATACTTTTACATACTAATCTATGATATCATAGTCATGATTATCATACATATCATTATATATACATATTATAGATACATATAGATACATGTAGATACATATAGATACATATAGATACATATAGATACATATAGATACATATAGATACATGGATATATATATATATATAATCATAAATTATTTTCAGCAGTTCAGGTAGCATGTTGATTTTTGGCGCCATAGCATCCCGAAAGGTGGACCTCGCAGAGACGCGGGACGAGGCGTGCGTTGATTTTTTGCCGACCATCAAAAGGGTGACCGTTGTGAAAACGGGAATGTCTAAAAGGTGGCGAAAAGGTGGGATGATAGCATTTATATAGTATTTATATATGTACTATAGTGTATATATATAATTATATATGAATGTATACATACATACATGAATATGTATATATATATATATGAATATATGTGATTTGTTTAGTAGACGTTTATAGATATAATCCATGATGTATTGATGTTTTTACAGATCTTTCATGGACGTCTATACAACGCTTAAGCCCCAAGAATCGGGGTTGATGGTGGGCCTGCCTCTTGGGTCTCGCCAGTTCCAGCATGTTTTCAGTGTACGTAAACTACAATCATTATAATTTATAATGGGAATACATAAAATAATCATATGGGAATAGTCATATGGGAATAATCACAATAAATGATAAAGGGAATAATCATATGACATTGTAATCACTCCTAATGAAAAGAATCACAAGTACAATCACTAGAATATAAAATGATAATTCATCACCTAATCACTGTATATATGATGAGGATAAAATTGGGCATCAAGAGACAGTTGGATCTGCAGCACCGCATTGTTACCGTTGATGAATTGGCCGCGGCTCAAAAAATTCCCCAGGAGTCTCCGGCGGATGGGCCTTCCGTTGGTTGTGAATTATCCCTTTATGCAAAGCCTAAAATAAATCATCCAAATGAATATCCAAATGTGCAATTTGTTTGTTGTTGAAGTCCCATTTTTCGCTCGAAAGTCTCATGAATTCTCAATGTTGTTGGATAGATCCTCATAAATTGCCCTATCCAAAGTTGCTACTATTGTCTATTGTTGTTAAAATCTTAATTTTTGCCATGCTTTCCCACTGTTTGTTCGTCAAATCCCCATGAATTCCAATTTCTATCTTCATTAGAATAAAAAGAACCATGCAAATTCATCTAAAATCTATATCATTCCATAGAAATCAACATGTTTCCACATGTTTCCCCATTTTGTTGGGGGAGAATCCCAAGGCCCAAGGTCCAGACCCTCAGCAGGTGTCGGCCACGCTGTCCTTTTTCGCGTTTGGCGCTTCCGCCGGGACCCAAGGGACAGGAATATCACCACGATCACCTCCAGTTGCTGATGTTTTACCTATGAAAAGATGGTGATTCTCCAGTTCGCTACGTTAAATAACCAGAGGGTATATACTAGGCTACATATATATATATATGTATATAATGGGTGATGGTAGATATATATATATATATGTATATTATATGATAGGTAATAAATGATATTTCTGTTGCAAATAGATCGGTAATAATGGTTTAAACAACCGAACAACCAATAGTGGGATATAATTGGATATTAAAAGTACAACCAATAACCAGTATTGGCCCGGTAAAGGGCGATAGCCACCAGAGAAGAATCCAAAGCAGCTATGATGCGTGGCCAGTCAGGATTCTATAGCCATTCCTACTTGGCTCATGTGTATGCCCGATGAAAAAAGGGCTATGTTGGATGTACATATTTATACATATATATATATATAAATTTTTATTATATTATATTATAATATATTATAATATATATATTATATTATATATATTATAATATACTATGTTACATTATTTTATAATATATTATATTATATTATAATGTGTTGTATTATTTTATAATATATTATAATTTATTATAATATATTATTTTATTTTTAGTATATTATATTATTCTATTATATTATTTGTTTATATTATTTTATCATATATTATTTTATTTTTTAATACTATATTATTTTGATATTTTATATATTATTATTTTATATTTATATATATATATATATTATATTTTATTATATATTATATCATATGTTTTTATATTGTATTATACATATATATATATACATATATATACACATTATTTTATATTATATTTTTCATTTTATATTATATTATAGTATATCATATTATTTTATATTATACATATATATATATATTCATTACATGTATATTATGTTTTATTATATTATATTATATTATATTATATTTTTTTATTATATTATTTTATTTTTTAATTTTATAGTATATTATATTAGATTAGATCGTATTATATATGATATATCCCTTGAGAATTGAGCTCCAACAGATGAATCAATGCAACCAAGTTTCAGAAGTTGGATTTAAAACATGCGCCAATTCAGAAAGGATCCAAAACATGTTGGTTTTTACGGCAATAAGATGCACCCATATGACATGATTGACTTCAAAAACCTCCGTATATCCGATGCAGATCCCATTTTCAGTCCCCATTCCGGTTTACTGTTTTATTTCGGAATTCAAAGTTTGGCCTCATGTTCAAATTCACTCGAAGTGATTGCTTGCTGCATGGTGCACAGCGGACAGTGCAGTCATGTCCAGTCATTTTGTGTTGAAATCCCCTGTTGATTGATGTTTATTGTTAAATTGTTTCCCATTTGACCCAAATATATCAAAGATATGTCCTAATATGACCCAGTTTGTGTTTATTTTCTAAATTGCCCAAGTTTATATACGTAATATTATGGAAAATATTACCTAGGTTATCAAAGATATGTTGATTTTATCCCCTTGTTTTTATCCCCTGCTGATTGATGTTGATTGTTCAATTATGTTTCCTCTGTTTCTTAAAAAAATGTTATATCCCCATTGGGTTAAACATTATACACACATTGGCGATTGAAAATATATCCCAAATTTCAACAACATAATCCATTGATGAAAAAAAACACACATTCTCCAATGATATTCCCAACTGATATCCCAAATTATACACATTATACAACTGGTGATTAATATACAACCAATTATAGGGTTATCAAACGGTAATGTATATCAATTGTTATCAACTATCCATAGGGTTCACATTATCCAATTGAATGGAGATATTCTAGATTCCTAGAATGGAGATTATCAATTGTCCTATCTCATTGTTACAATATAAAATTTAGATTATATCATTATCAATGAGATAATCAGTGGATAATATGTCCATTGGTGAATCAATTAGCCCTACATTAATATATCATTATCCAATTATAGAGTTACCCTCTGGTAAACTAACATAACTATGGAAAATCACCATTTTTAATGGGTAAATCAACTATAACTGGGCCATTTTCAATAGCTATTTTGACATAACCAGAGGGTACATCCCATTAAAATCACCATTTTGTTGGTTAAACCCCATTAAACCACCATTAAACCACCATTTTCCCATGGTTTTCCTATGGTTTTCCACCATTGCTTGTATGTTTACCAGAGGATATCAATTGGTGATTGGAAAATTTCCCTGAAGCTCGGAGCAGGCCGCTGTGTCCGATGCGTGGCCTGGCGGAGATTTTGAACGGTGGATTTTTTGGTCGTTGGATGTGGGTCGTTTCAAGGGAGCCAGGGAGGGACCCAAAAATGTGAAAAATATAGGGAAAACGTGGGAAAATATATAGGAAACATGTGGGAAATATATATAGAAAACATTTGTGAAAAATATATAGGAAACATATAGGCACAATATAGGAAGAAACTATGGAACAGCTATGACATGTTCATCAATTTTGCCGCAGAATGGAGATATTTCAGTTATTCCTAGATGAAGATTTCCAGCAATGATCCACTATTGATCTTCTAGATCTGACTAGTAATGGTTATATCACCTTGCTCCACCGACATGGTTTCAGAAGGTGCCTGTCCCCCGAGGCAATTGGACGTGAAGGCCGAGGAGTTCTTTCTGCTTCTGAAGCGTCACTTGGCGGTCATCCGGTCGGAACACACACCACTTTTGGAAAATCGGAAAGTCGCGTCCGATATGTCACATGTTGTCACCGCATGTCATTGATGTTTTGATTTTAAGTGATATTTTGTGTGATATCCCTGGTGGTCCAAAGTCGTACTTCAAGTTCCCAGGTTTCCTCTCGGACTTTGAGCAATGCGTTGCTTGGGCACAAACGGGTGAAGCAAAACATGGCGAGCCGTCGTCACTGGTGAAGGTTTTTTCGCGCCAAACCATGGGTGATGTTTGTTTTGTACTTGATCTTTATCTCATGGGTAATGTTCGCTTGTTAGTATCCAAGCATGGGATGCCAAACCATGGGTGATATACTCCACGGCTCCTGTAATCCCAAAAGGATTGGTGAAGGATGGGTTTTTTGTTGCTATTTTAAACGGGATATAACCCCTACAACCGGGATATACGTACAACCCAGCCAGAAATCATATTTTCGCTATAAGTTTCTAGATGTGGGCAGGACATCCGTCTGAAATGGTCGACCAAGTAGGATATAGGGGCGTGGTGGAATCTACTTTAACCACTGTACAATGTGGTAAACCTAATAATAAACCTACCATTTGGATGATGTTTACAAGCCATGTATTGTAAATATTGTAATATTCGGATGGTTTATTAGTGGGTTTGTTTCATTACCGTGATTTCGATGTTGTATACGTGAGCTGCTAATCAGTCTGGTGGTTCACCAAGATGGCACGCCATGATGCGAGTACCATATTCGTCAGCCAGTAAAAGCAACATGGTCACTGGCTTATGATAAAATATGATAAAAGATAATCAATGGATCAATGTCTATGATAAATATGATTCCATATTCGTACCAAGTACTTATCTCAAAGTGGATCAATGTCATGATAAAAGATAATCAAGCGGTTTGCCCTATCATGAAGCTGCGGTTCTGGTTGATAGGTATTCCATTGAAAATGGTGGTCGAGTATCAGGTTTACTTCCTTACCCATTTGCCCATGTTTGGCATGTGGCTTCGTCCCGGTTTTTTGGGGACAAAATCAGAGGATGATTACTACTGTACCTATGAACTGTAGTCCATGCTTCTGATTCGGAAGGACAAGAAATGTTTGCTGTTGAATTTGGTGTGTGAAGGTTTTATAGGATCGGCCGGGCCATTTTGCGTTGGGCAGTTAACATTTATGTGTGTATATATATATATAATTATATATAATGCTGGATTAAAAAAAAGGAAATGTTGAATGAGTTTTGCTGCATTTTTCATTGGCCATACATCCCATTTGATTGGTCTTGAACACCCCGTGGATCCCCGGTGACAATAATTACTGTTCCTGCTGCTGTTTGTTGTGGCCTATTGGTCTTGGAGTTTCCAATTTGGCTCTGGCCCTACAGAAAATACAAATTGAAGAGTTTCAGACCCTAACCCCCCCTCACAAATCTCCCCAGATTGAATGGTGTTCAGTGGTTGAAAGAAAAGTCATACATCATAAAACGCCCGTTGATTTGTTTTTCCCCACCTGCCAGGTGAGGGTTGTTAGATTTTATGTCAGTTGCCTCCTCCTCCTCCTTCTCCTCCTTCTCCTCCTCCTCCTTCTCCTCCTCCTCCTCCGCCTCCTCCTGCCTCGTCCTCCTCTCCTCCTCCTCGTCCTCCTCGTCGTCCTCGTCGTCCTTGCTCAACTGCGACCCGCGATCCACAGTGTTCTCTGCCGGACCTCAACCACGACCATCCACGCCCAGTGTTCCCTGCCGGACCTCAACCACGACCATCCAAGCCCAATGTTCCCTGCCGGACCTCAACCACGACCATCCTCGCCCAGTGTTCCCTGCCGGACCTCAACCACGACCATCCACGCCCAGTGTTCCCTGCCGGACCTCAACCGCGAGTATCCACGCCAAGTGTTCCCTGCCGGACCTCATGTAGGAAGATATGGGACAAATAATGTGCAGAAGAAAGTTAGAAAGAATGTCAGAAAGAATGTCAGAAGATATGCCAGAAGATATGCCAGAAGATATGCCAGATAGAATGCCAGATAATATGCCAGAAGATATGCCAGATAGATTGCCAGATAGAATGCCAGAAGATTTGCCAGATAGAATGCCAGAAAATATGCCAGAAGATATGCCAGATAGATATGTCAGAAGATATGCCAGAAGATATGTCAGAATATATGCCAGAAGATATGTCAGATAGAATGCCAGAAGATATGTCAGAATATATGCCAGAAGATATGCCAGATAGAATGCCAGAAGATTTGCCAGAAGATATGTCAGAATATATGCCAGAAGATATGCCAGATAGAATGCCAGAAGATTTGCCAGATAGAATGCCAGAAGATATGTCAGATAGAATGCCAGAAGATATGCCAGATAGAATGCCAGAAGATTTGCCAGATAGAATGCCAAATAGAATGTCAGAAGATATGTCAGATAGAATGCCAGAAGATTTGCCAGTAAGAAAATGTATAAATGTCATGGTGGGGATCACACGAAGTAAAGTAATTTTTTTTAAAAAAAACTTCAGATTTATCATGATTTATTGATAGTTATCCCATAGTTATCGCAAGATTGCTTGGGATTTTTGTTCCATGTCACTGGAGGTGTCGATCCAGTCATGGCGGCCCGGTCAGCCGAGGTTCAGGAGCTTCCGCACTTAGATCTGGGAGAGTTCCAGGTATCGGCTGGGAGATGGGATGAGAAACAGATGGCGCAATCTCGAAACACAGATGGGTAGAGCTAGTTATACCATCTGATATCCATTTGATATATATACATATATATATATACACATACATACATACATATATATTTATATACATATATATATATACATATAACTATACAACAAAAATATACATATATATATATGATTATGTATATATCATTATATATTTTTTCTTTAGGTTCTTTAGATACATTTTTTTTCGAATAGGACGATTGGAAGATAATGGAACAGAATTGGGATGGATAGCCTGGGATGGGAAGTCCTGGGATGGCTATAGGATGGCGGCATTTATTGGTTGATATCTAGGACCGTATTGAACCATGAGCAATGAAGGATATGAATATTTATTTATCCTAGACATCCAACAAATCTTGTTGATACCTATTGTTGATATCCAAGAAATCATAGCTTCTTCCATGAGCAATGAAGTCCAAGACTGCAACAAGTTGATCACATGATATGTTAATTAGCCCATCTTATTGGATGCTCTTTGATGTTTTTCCAAAAAAATAAGAGGTAACATGATTTTTTTTCGTCGATGTGTCTAGCCGCCAAAGGGATTTTTGTGTGTGTTTGGATGGAACAAGGGCTTTTTTGACCACCTTTTTTTTTGGGTCCAAAAAGTCAGCGATTACTGGGAAGTTCATCATCCGGGTAGTTTTCTTCACTCCAGCGTACTGCTGGGGCATGTTGGATGGCATTTTGAGTGGCACCACAGTTATCACGACTCTACTTGACTTATGGGGGTACCCCCAAATAATCCAAAATCATTATAGTATTGAAACCATTTGGGTATGTCTGAAAATGGGGTATACCCCCAATTATAGCCATTTAGTAGGGATAATGATCTTTAACCATTGGGTGTAGCGGTACACTATTTTCAGACAAACCCATTTGAAACCCATGCGTTTGAGGATTTCCAATTTTTAAAACCCCCCCATAATATGTTTTTTTTGGGGGGGGGATGGGCTCACAAGACCAGGATGTCTGCATCCCCAGGATGGAGATCCCAAAGAAATGGGTGACCATCCACCATATATGGGGATTAATCATGATTAATCCATAGTAGAATCCAAAACTTTTGACAATGGTTTTTTTTGATGTTTTTTTCTGATGAACATTCGCTTGCAGGCCCCAGACGAGATCGCCAAGGATTGCAATGAAGTGGTGTGAATTCGGATGCAAGATAATGCAAGAATTCGGATCATCTTTATCATGAAAAAAGATGGTGACATGAAGTATGATGAGGTTGGGTAAGGAGGCAGATTGAAAGTAATATCGCTAGATATGTCTCTGTTCGCAAGACATAGATTTGGATGATGGTAATGTGAACTAACTACCCAAGGCAGCAATTTCATGCAATGTCCCACTTTGAGCTCAGAGACCTCCAGGGAAGTTTGGAGCCATAGGATTAGTGAAGTGGTTAGTAAGTGGATCAAGAAATCCATTAATTATAGTTAACTGCGGCAGTTACTATGATAATCAAATGTTATCATCCCATAGTTATTGACATTGGCAGATACTTTTTAATTGGCAGATTACTGGTAAACTGGATAATCATCCCATTGATAATCATCCCATAGTATATAATACCCATAGATATTTCCAAGGTAAACTAATCCCAATTGGTTGTATTACTAACCAGCGAGCTAATCCAACGGCACATCACTCAGTACCCAGCCAAGTCAATGCAGACGGACTTTGCTCCAGCCTCGGTGACGTAAAGGGTCGAGATATCATGTCTGGTTTGGACGTGGGAAAATTGGGAAAGCTGGAAAAAAACGGAAAGCCCCTTCCAAAATCCATCAAAATCCACTAGTATCATTAGATTCCAATGAATCAGCTTATATTCCAATGTATGATGGTTTATCATCAGATTCCCCATTGACTAAATCATACTAAATCATACAGAATTATACTTAGTAACGACATTTAAATATGTGGAGGGCGGGCCAGACCTCGAGGCCCCGGAGGTAGTATGAAATACTAGTTCGTATATTTAAATGTCGTTACCGTACTGTTATACGATATATAATCATTACTCAACTCATTGAGAATTTCAGGATCCAATACATGGAGGTACGTAAACGTACCATATTTTGGGCCATATTTTCTGGGGATATTCCCTGAAATTTAGGCCAAAAATATATGGAATCGGTACCTCCAATTTTCCTCGGTTCCGGAGATAGCCAGTGATTTTCACCATGTTCAGCCATGGGACATGGGACTAAAGAGGTGACCAACATGGAAACATAAAATTGGCGAGCGAAACAAGGCGTAAATGAAGATGAAATTATGATGCGAAAATGTGAATCTCTAATATATATTGTATAATATTGTGTATATATATATACATATATCAACTGACACGATGTATACTTACATATAAGTATATATATATATTATTTATTTACGTCTTTGATAGCATATGATTGCATAAATTCAAACATTGATAATGACTGATAAAGATGTTAAACACTTGTAGAGATAGACACAAATTCCATGTGTTTGAAAGGCACGGTACTCTTTGACAACCATTTTGACCCACGTCACGAGTGCCGACCTCGTTGTGTTACATTTTGTGCCTGCGCATTGGTCGTCAGCCTGTCAGCTTCCTCGGGCAAGAGTGAAGCATACGAGTGATCAAGTGAACAAATGGGTATGCGTCAAGATGTAAAATATAATAAACTGTATACTGTATATATATATAATTATACATATACACATTATATGTGTGTATATATTTGGGAAATCCATGACTTGGAGAATCGATAGTACGGAACATTGTTTTGCCTTTTCTTGGGGTTCCTGACGATGATTCTCAAGCAAATCTAAGGATGTCTGTGCAGGGCCGATAGTTGATTGGCTATGAAGTAAGCAGTTAGTTATACTACCTGATTATTGGGGATTGTTGCGAAACCTATCATAAACAACTGGTATAAATCAGATGGGGTGGTGTTTTGAATGGCTCGCTTGCGGCAAGCACTTTGATACTTGGGCCGCAACAAGCAGACCGCAATCATGGTTAGCGTACCCCATTCATAAACAATGTCACATTCCCAATGTACCCACAGGTTTTGCCACCGCAGATCATGTATACTGTATACCAGTTGTTTGTTGGTCTTATCACTATTTCTCTTGGCCCTACATCCGAGGAAATGATGGGGACTAATCATCAAAATTCATCAAGAAAAAATAAGGGACAAAAAGCATGGATGATAAGGAGAATATCCCATGTTATATCATGTTAGTTGTATGAATTATCATGATTTGACGTCACGGGAATGATGGTTAGTAAAGGGAATCATCCCCAAGTGGCCGCAAGTTTCAGCTATTTTTAGCTTAGTGAAGTATGATAATTCAGACATAATGAGTGTATAGACTCATAGACATATTTGTACCACAGTATCACTGGCTACCTCCAGGACCTAAATTGGAGGTACCTACCATATATAAGGCCTATGTAAGGGAATATCACTATGGCCTTTTATGGTACTAACGTACCTCCATTTTAGGATCCTGGAATTCCCATTGACAGTAATACATTAATGACTTTCAAGTTATGCGGTTGATTCCTCCCATCCTCATTGGGTATCCGATAATCTTCGTTGTATTATATATCTCCCCAATACCTGTATATATAGTCTAGAAAACTATATATCATTATCTCCTTATCCCCTTATATACAATATAATATTATAATTGTATATATATATATGTAGTATATAGTACTATATATCCCCATTGTATTATATATATAGTACTGTATATCCCCATTGTAGTATATAGTACTGTATATCCATATATCCCCAATCATGATGACGTAGCTCTAAGAGATGCCCCATCCAATCGGATGAACGTACCTCACAGGCTGCCACTGCCGAAGCTTCCGCCGAAGCCTCCGCGAGGTCCTGGTTGGAGGTGGCGCCGAAAAAACGAGGATGGGGGGTACGATGGGATATAGCCTATCATAACGGGGCTATATAGATATAGATATATATATATATATGCATACATAATAATATAGATACAATATATATAAATATATATATACATATATATTGGTGTTTGTCTCTATATATATATATATATATTACATGTGTGTGTTTCTTATGTATATAACATGATGTAACATTGTACGAGCAACTTAATATGAGCAATCTTCAATGTCCCTGTTGATGATTATTCATGGGATCTACACTACCATGTTTATCTTGGGGATTATCATGGATAAGATAATCCATGAACTGGGATTGAACACAGCTTATTCACTCAGCCATTTAGCATGGTGCTTCTCAGCCATTCCATGCCATTCGCTGTTCGGTTCTCACAAGTAGATCGACCAACTCCACAGGGGAACCAAGCAGTTCAGCAATTCTCCCACGTGTTTCTACCCAAGTTTGAGCATTTGGGGAATATGGTCAGCCACGTCTTGAAATTCTAAAGTGTGGTTGTTTATTGCTGTTGATTTTCTTGACCACCCGTTATGATATGGGAATTTACTGGGTGAACTGCCTGGTTTCCACGGTGAGTTCTAGCGCATGTGTTTTTTGTTGGGAGGAGATTACAACCATCCCCAGATCCCTATGCCGAGATCAATGACCTCACACACGCCGCGGCATTTGGAATCGTGAGCGTATTGCTACTCCTCCGTCTTGCGGTGGTAGAAATGCAATCTCCCGAAGGCTCTGCTAGCCGGGGATCCGCTTGGCTCTGCTAGCCCTAGCCCTATGGCGTATCATTGACCCAACCAACTCCAAGAATATGTCGTTTTGTTTCTTCTTTCTGGAGTTTTTCCATGTTTTTTCCATGGGATATCCATCTAACTTTCCCGGAGCGCAGTGTTTCCGTTCTGGCACAAGGCTGCAGGCTTTGACCCAAAGGAAGTGAGGGAGGCATTGGCAGAGGCCCACCTTGGTGGCTTTTCAAGCCATGTTTGATGACGGGGCAAGATGGTTTGATTGGATACCCACTGGTAATTTAACATAGCTATTGAAAATCACCATTTTTAATGGGAAGATCCACTATAAATCACCATTTTCAATAGCTACGTTTAATTACCAGAGGGTAGATTCCATGCATCATTGCATTGGTTTACCGGTAAATTTATAGGAAACCCCCCAATTGTTTAATGGGAAAATCGATGGTTTCCTGTAGATGATTATGGATATTTCCCCACCTGCCAGGTGAGGGTTGTTAGATTTTATGTCAGTTGCTTCCTCCTCGTCCTCCACCTCCTCCTCCTCGTCCTCCTCCTCCTCCTCCTCGTCGTCCTCCTCCTCATCGTCCTCCTCGTCCTCCTCCTCGTCCTCCTCGTCCTCCTCCTGCTCCACTGCGATCCATGTCAGTGTGCCCTGCCGGACCTCAACCACGACCATCCACGTCAGTGTGCCCTGCCGGACCTCAACCACGACCATCCACGCCCAGTGTTCCCTGCCGGACCTCAACCACGACCATCCACGCCCAATGTTCCCTGCCGGACCTCAACCACGACCATCCCCACCCAGTGCTCCCTGCCGGACCTCAACCACGACCATCCACGCCCAGTGTTCCCTGCCGGACCTCAACCGCGAGTATCCACGCCAAGTGTTCCCTGCCGGACCTCATGTAGGAAGATATGGGACAAAGAATGTGCAGAAGAAAGTTAGAAAGAATGTCGGAAAGAATGTCAGAAGATATGCCAGAAGATATGCCAGATAGAATGCCAAATAGAATGCCAGATAGAATGCCAGATAGAATGCCAGAAGATATGTCAGAATATATGCCAGAAGATATGCCAGATAGAATGCCAGATAATATGCCAGAAGATATGCCAGATAGAATGCCAGATAGAATGCCAGAAGATTTGCCAGATAGAATGCCAGAAAATATGCCAGAAGATATGCCAGATAGATATGCCAGAAGATATGCCAGAAGATATGCCAGAAGATATGCCAGAAGATATGTCAGAATATATGCCAGAAGATATGTCAGATAGAATGCCAGAAGATATGTCAGAATATTTGCCAGAAGATATGCCAGATAGAATGCCAGATTGAATGCCAGAAGATATGTCAGATAGAGTGCCAGAAGATATGCCAGATAGAATGCCAGAAGATTAGCCAGATAGAATGCCAGAAGATATGCCAGATCATATGCCAGAAGATATGCCAGATAGAATGCCAAATAGATTGTCAGAAGATATGTCAGATAGAATGCCAGAAGATTTGCCAGTAAGAAAATGTATAAATGTCATGGTGGGGATCACACGAAGTAAGGTAATTTTATGAATAGAGTTGTGGAAAAGTTGGGATTTAATCATAACTTAATGGATGTTTCCACTATTTTCCCCCATTGTTGTTGATTTTGTTGTGGAAAAACTACTCACTTCCATTACCTGGATGCACATCCAAGTGGTATTCTAACATGGCTGGGAAATTTGACAAACCAACTTTTTAATGGGACAATATATCGGATACTCATTGACCCAAATGGGAAATTTAGAGACTCAGAAAAACCTGGTCAGAGACTTGTATATCTTGCTACAACTACGGTTGGTTTATGGGGAATATGACATAATATGACATAATAGAACATGATATTAACATGATGTGACTACAGTGAATGGGTTTATAAGCCAACTTACAACTAGGGGGGCTCAGCTTGTAAGTTTGTAGCTATTTCATGGGTTTGTTTAAGGTGAGTGTTTAGTTTCCCAGTGGGAAATACAGCATGTGGGGAATCTATAGGTGCAGCATACATAGGGGCCAACTAGGTCAAGTCCCTGGGTGCCGTGACTATTGAAAACGTTTCATTTACCATCTGGTTATGACGAACATAGCCATGGAAAATCACCAGTTTAAATAGGTAAACCATTTATAAATGGGCTATCTATACCATGGCTATGTTAAATAACC